ACAATGTTTGCCGACAATAAAGACTGTGCAACTCTAGGTTACAGCCCTGTTGAAAGAGTTCAGGCACAATCTCCTCTCTTATTGTGGTTCTATACCATGCAGAATAGGAGTGGTTGTTTCCTCATTTCTTTTTGGAGTGACGAAATCTTCACGTTTTAAAATGTTCTCATCAAGGGAAGCAGACTGATCGTGATGTGGGGCCATCTACACTGTGGTATTAATGTAGTTTAACACCACTTGAACTGCTGAGCTGCAATGCAATCCTATGGAGTATTGTTGAAGGCTTTCATGGCCGGAATCACTGGGTTGTTGTAGGTTTTTTTGGGCTATATAGCCATGGTCTAGAGGCATTCTCTCCTGACGTTTCGCCTGCATCTATGGCAAGCATCCTCAGAGGTAGTGAGGTCTGTTGGAACTAGGAAAATGGGTTTATATATCTGTGGAATAATAACCAGGGTGGGACAAAGGACTCTTGTCTGCTGGAGCTAGGTGTGAATGTTTCAACTGACCACCTTGATTAGCATTTGATGGCCTGGCAGTGCCTGGAGCAATCTTTTGTTGAGAGGTGATTAGATGTACCAGAAGCTACACAGAGAAGCCATTGAAATCCACAAGAAGCATGTGGACAATGTCAACAGAAAGGAGGAAACCATGAAAATGAACAAAATCTGGCTACCAGTATTTAAAAAACTCTAAAACAACAGCACAACAACAGAGAGGAAACAAACAAGGACATCTAATCACCTCTCAACAAAAGTTTGCTCCAGGCACTGTCAGGGCATTAAATGCTAATCAAGGTGGTCAGTTGAAACATTCACACCTAGCTCCAACAGACAAGAGTCCTTTGTCCCACCCTGGTCATTCCACAGATATATAAACCCTTTTTCCTAGTTCCAACAGACCTCACTACCTCTGAGGATGCTTACCATAGATGCAGGCGAAACGTCAGGAGAGAATGCCTCTAGACCATGGCCATATAGCCCGAAAAAACCTACAACAACCCAATGCTATGGAGTCCTGGGAGTGGTAGTTTTGCAAGGTCTTTCGCCTTCCCTGTTGAAGAGTGCCAGGGCGTCACCAAACGACAACTCTCAGGATTCCTAAAGTGTGATCAGAACGAACTATTTCTACAGTGTAGATGCAGTTAGCGTCCTCTTTGGATTCAGAGGTCACTCGAACTTCATTTCCTTCCTATTTGCTGTTTCGATGGTTTGCAAAAGATGGGAAGAGCAAGAAACAAAGGAGGGAAAGGGAGCCGCCTTTTTGCAAGGGCCTGGCCATTTAGCAGGAACAAGAGCGAGAGATCTTTGCAAGGCTGAGCCTCCCTGGGGATGGGGCCAAGAGGGACCCTCGTCCTGCTTTCCAGCCACTTAAGGCCCCTGATTGCCTTCCACCAAAGAGAGAGGCAGCCTGGCTTGGCCTTGCCTGGCTCAGGTCCGGGTTTTGCACGGCTGAGCTGAGTGGACGGAAGAAAGGAAGGGCGGCCTGGGAGGCCCGAGGTGCTAAAAGCAAAGCCCTGTCCGGCAGTCAGGCCGTCCTCCTTGGTGCCAAAGGGATCGTGCTGCTGCCGCTGTTATTAGTGCAAAGGGGGGGAGATGCATTAGGGCCCCTTGGAGCACACAGGGAGGCCACTTCTGCAAGGAGAAGCCACCTCCTTGGACCCCGAGGTGGGCTTTTAGTCGGAAACAGGCCCCACAGCCCCCCTCCCAGAAGGAAGCAACGCTCAAAGAAGACCGGGCTTTGCGTCTTCAGGAGCCTCTTTGTGTCGGATAATACGGAGTCTCCTACTGTCAGAGGCGGCCCTAGGTAATTTTCAACGGTAAGCAAACAGTATTTTGGCAACCCCCCCCCCCCAACCAATCATTGATATATATTTTCTGTTCATCGTGGGAGTTCTGTGTGCCATATTTGGTTCAATTCCATCATTGGTGGAGTTCAGAATGCTCTTTGATTGTAGGTGAACTATACATCCCAGTAACTACACTTGCCGCATTTGCTCCCTTGCCTGGCCCGCTTTGGGTCCGGAGGCGTGCCTGAAGACCCCGGCGTGTGCACCAAAAGTCACCTCTTCTCCTGACTTTCTCCTCAGCCATTGGGACCAAGAGAGAGAGAGAGAGACAGAGGTGGAGATGCCCACCTTTTCTGAAGGTAGGCGCAAAAACAAAGGAGGGAGCGGAGGTGGGAGATACCTCCAGCCATAGGGGCTCTCTCTCTCTCTCTCTCTCTCTCTCTCTCTCTTGGTCCCAATGGCTGAAGAGAAAGTCAGGAGAAGAGGCGACTTTTGGTGCGCACGCTGGGGTCTTCAGACATGCCTCCGGACCCAAAGCGGGCCAGGCGCGGCGGCTCCGCCCCTTGGCCCACCCGCGGATTGGGGAGAGGAGAGGAGGCAGGTGGAGCGCTCGGGGATCGGGAAAGGGAGCCGGTCATGGGGAAGGGATCGAACGCGGAGAACGATTGAGCGCCGGCTCTGCTCGCGCACCCGGTGGCCGGGTGGAGCAGGAACGAGAGGGGCTAGGCGAGGCTCAAGGGCCCGGCCCCTTTGGGAAGAGGATCGCCCGGCAGCGAGGCAAGAAAGCTGAGGCTCCCCCCGGACTGCTAGGGCTGTTGTGAGCTGAGGGGGCGCTCCTCAAGTGGCAGTCGAGGGGCATTTACAGAGGCGCCTCTGCGCCCCCGGCAAAAAAAGTGTTCTGTGACTGCTTACTTCGCGTAATGGATGAGCCACCCCTGCCTATGGTGACCCTCTCTAAGGGTTCTTCTTTTTCTTCTTTTTCCTTTGAGGCTGAGAAGGTGAGACTTCCCCAGTGTCGTCCAGTGGCTTTTCAGGGATCGAGCCGGGATCTGGACTCCGGCCTCAACTAGCATCTACTCTCTTTATTTCCTTCTAGCTTTTCTTGGTGGGCCGGCCGTCAGGCGAGGAAGAACAAAACAAATATTTGATGGGACCTTCATAGGCCATCTAGTCTGGCCCCATTTCCCTCCTCAGGAAGGCGCAACCAAATCACTCCCAGAAGATGCTCATCCAGCCTTCAAATAAAGGCCTTCAAAATTGGAGAACTCTTCTGTCTCCAAGGTAGTAGATTCCTCTCCCAAATGGCTCTTAGAGTAAGATGGTCTTGCCAAGGTTTAGCAGCTGGAGTCTTCTTTTCCTTTGGAAAGTGGGATCAGAGTGTCACGGATCTCATTTGCCTCTAATGGGAAGATGTTGGGATGAGATTCCAGTTCCCTAAAGGCCCAGAGAAGAAACCCCGAAGCATGGGCAGAGCTGGGCTTCTAAGAAGGAAGGAAGAAAATGCCTTCACTGCCGGCTGACCTTTGGCAAGGCCGCAAACACAGAGTGAGTGTTGACACTGCAAACAGCTCTCCTTCCAAAGGCAAAACACATGGAGCCAGAAAGCAAAGGGCTGGGTCCACGTGCCAAGGGATCTCATTTGAGGAGCTGAAACTGCATTAACTGCCATGACTCACTCAATGGAAACCTGGGAGCTGTAGTTTCCCAAGGCCTTGTGCCTCCTTTGCCAAAAAGGGCTGGTGCCTCCCCAAACTACCAGGATGCCATCATGGCACTGAGCCACCGGGACCACTGTGACTGGCTTGTGCCAGAGTCTTTGCAGTTCGAACTAAATCCTCATCTCGTGTCAGTTTTTCCAGTTCTTTCTCTTCAATCCTGCAGTCGCCTGGGATTGCAACATCAACAATCCACACTTTGTTTTTTAACACAATCGTGAGGTCAGGAGTCTTGTGCTCCAAAACTCTGTCTGTCTGAATCCGGAAGTCTCAGAGAAGTTTGATGTGATCTTTTTCTGTAACTTTTCCAGGGTTGTGATCCCACCAGTTCTTTGTCGCAGGCAGATGGTGTTTGTGGCACAAGATCCAATGAATCATCTGAGCAACTGTGTTGTGCCTCTGCTTGTAATTGGTCCACAATCTTCTTGCAGCAGCTGAGGATGGGATCTATTGTTTCATCTGCTTCCTTGCAGAGTCTACACTTGGGATCTGTTGTCAACTTTTCAATTCTGGCTTTGATGGCTTTGCTTCTAATGGCTTGTTCTTCAACAACAACAAGCAGACCTATAAGGAGCGGCTTAAGGAGCTGGGCATTTTTAGCCTGAAGAGGAGAAGGATGAGAGGAGATATGATGAGGGCCATGGATAAATATGTGAGAGGAAGCCACAGGGAGGAGGAGGGAGCAAGCTTCCTTTCTGCTTCCCTGGAGACTAGGATGCAAGGGAACAATGGCTTCAAACGACAAGAGAGGAGATTCCATCTGAACATGAGGAAGAACTTCCTGACTGTGAGAGCCGTTCAGCAGTGGAACTCTCTGCCCCAGAGGGAGTGTGGTGGAGGCTCCTTCTTTGGAAGCTTTTAAGCAGAGGCTGGATGGCCATCTGTCAGGGGTGCTTTGAATGCAGTATTCCTGCTTCTTGGCAGAGGGTTGTACTGGATGACCCATGAGGTCTCTTCCAACTCTTTGATTCTATGATTCTACGATTCTATGAACAACAACAATAACAATTTCCATCAGTCCTCCATCCATCTCTATACACAACACTGTTGTCAACATCCAGCACATGATGATGATGATGATGATGATGATGTTTATTTATACCCCACTTTTTCTCTCCACAAAGAGACTCAAAGTGTCTTTGTGGTTTACTTGTGGTTCAGGGGATGATGGGACGTGCAGTTCCCTTTTCATCAAGGAAACCAAAACAAGGCAGTTGCAAGGGTTTATTTGGTAAACAGAATGAGCACTGAGCGCATTCCTGATTGCTGCAGCATGCTTTGGCAATGGTACACAACCCTTGCAGGAAACTAGATCTTTCCAGCTCCCGGGCCCAAGAGTTTACAGACAACAACGCTTCCCCCAAGATGCCTACACAGAGACCCAGAAGTGGGCAGGGCAAAGCCAACTGGGATGGGTCAGTTGGGCCTGGCATAAAAGCCCCTTTGGAGGCTCCCTTGGCCCGGCTCCATTCTGCCTCCGGAACCCTTGCAAGGCCATGGCGACCAAGGTGGAGATCCGCATCAATGGCCACCCCCCGGGGGCACTGGCCGGGGCCAGGGAGCAGCTGCTGGCGGCCACCAGGGACTACATCTCCCACCCAAGGCTCAGTAAGTGTCGGGGAGGGTGGGCTTTGTCGCCTCTTCCTGAGACGTTGCACCATGTTGGCGCAACCTGGACCCTTGGGCAGGAGAAGGATGTTGCTCTGTGGAAAGGCAAAATGCTGTGACATTTCTATCCCCCAAGGGTGCATCTGCACTGCAGAATGAAGGCAGTTTGACACTGGGTCAATGCCAGGGAAACACTGGATCTAGAGTTTGGTGAGGCAGAGGGACTCTGTGGCAGAGGAGGCTAAAGCAAACGGTAGTAGTAGTAGTAGTAGTAGTTGTTGTTGTAATCCTGCTTCTTGGCAGAATGGGGTTGGACTGGATGGCCCATGAGGTCTCTTCCAACTCTTTGATTCTATGATTCTAATCTATATAAATAAAAATGTAATGTTAGTTCATGCTACCATCAGAACTCAAAAACCACTGGGGGAATTGACACCAAATTTGGACACAAGACACCTAACAGTCCAATTTATGTCCTCCACTCAAAAAAAATTGATTTTGTCATTTGGGAATTGTCGTTGCTGGGATTTATAGTTCACCTACAATCAAAGAGCATTCTGAACTCCACCAATGATGGAATTGGGCCAAACTTAGCACACAGGGCTCCCATGACCAACAGAAAAAACTGGAAAGGGTTTGGTGGACATTGACCTTGAGTTTGGGAATTATAGTTCACCCACATCCAGAGAGCACTGTGGACTCAAACAATGATGGATCTGGACCAAACTTGACACAAAATTCCATATGCCCAAATATGAACACAGATGGAGTTTGGAGGAAATAGACCTTGATATTTGGGATTTGTAGTTACTGGGATTTATAGTTCACTACAATTAAAGAGCATTCTGAAACCCACAAACGACAGAAATGGGGCAAACTTCTCACACAGAACCCCCATGACCAACAGAAAATACTTAAGGCCATCCAGTCCAACTCTCTTCACCAGGGCAAGAAAATGTAATCAGAGCCCTCCTGACAAAGAGCCATCCAGTCATAAATATAGATAGATAGGATTCTCTCTCACACACACAGATATAGTATCATAGATTTGAAAGAGACCCTTAAAGAAGGACTATGATATGTTGCATATTCCAGAGTAGGCAAACCAGACACTCTCCACATCAACACTGACAAAGAAACAACAAGAAATACTGTTTACCCACAAGCATCAAGACATCACATAGATTAGAAACAAAGACTTTCTCATTACTTTATTTTCCAGAGCAACAGACTGGGCCACAGCAACACCTGGCAGGGGACAGCTAGTAATAATAATAATATTACATTTATACCCTGCCTTTCTCACCCCATTGAGGGACTCAGGGCGGCTTACAGTCAATGGCATACAATGCCGCATTACACATATAATAATAAACATATCGATTTAAACCTACAGTAATAAACATGACATAATAATTGAACAATTCAAATAGAAATACAATAAAAAAGCTTAAAAGTAAACATTCAATCCCAACCAAAGTGGGCTGATGGAATAAGTGGCCAGAAGCAACAGGTGAGGTGGGGGAACCCTGAGCCCCTGCACAGGTGTTCCAGTGTCCAAATGATGGGCAGCGTGGCCATGGAGGCACCCCGCACAGGTGTTCCAGCAGCAGGGTGATGGGTGATGTTGTCATTAAAGTAGCCGTGCGAGGGCCATGTTCTCTCTTTGGAGACTACTGGGTCAGCTGGCTGGAATGAGGGTGTGGCTGCAGGTCTCCTTGTGAGTAAATCCAGGGCTGCCTAGCAAAGCTGGATGACAATCCTCAGGCCCCAGGGTCTCTCCTGCAGCAGAGCCCCACAAAGCTTGGTTCCCTGGATTCTATACCATTGAACCATGGTGGCTCAAGTGGGGCCCATCTCCATTCATTCCACAGTGTAGTTGCACCCGGAGAAGGCAAAAGACCTTGCGAAACTACAGCTCCCAGGGCTCCATTGCATGGATCCATGGCAGTTCAGGGGGCCTCAAATTGCATTCATTGCACAGCATAGAACCACATTTCTTGCATTGGAGTAACTTTGAACTTCAGCTGGGTTGAAGCAGACCTGGGAAATGGGCAGTTCACGTGAATGCAAAATGGAAGCGCTTTAGGAGAGATGCAGAAGGATGGGAATGAATATATTAGTCCTAACCTTAAGGCAAGATGGATGGATGACATCCTTGAAGTGACTGGACTGACCTTGAAGGAGCTGGGGGTGGTGATCAACGGCCGACAGGGAGCTCCGGCATGGGCTGGTCCATGAGGTCACAAAGAGTTGGAGACGACTGAACGAATGAACAACAACAACAACAACCTTAGAATGTCAGATAAATACAGCAGTACTGAGGGAAACTGGGCCCAATCTTGGATAATCAAATGCTTGGTGCTTGTTGTGGAGGAATCCTGTGATTTCAAGGCAGGGGAGAAATCAGGCTTGAAATTCTGTGACCCCCAAAGTGCTGGACCTTGTTGTCAAAAGACTTCACTTCCTTCACTCAGAATAAGGGGGGGAAAGGAAAAGGGAACTGAACCTGACCAGGGAAATCCCACGAGAAAGCTTTGTGGTTGCCCAGCCGTTCAAATCCGGGCATCTTTCTGTCTCAAGGGCAAAAGGGGGGTGGCTTGTCTTCTTGCAGGATGAGGTCAAAAGGAAAAGGCATCATCAGTTTGGTAGTCCTTGGTGTGATGTACATGTTTCTGAGTTTTGTGCTTTGGATGATCTTGAAGTTGTTTCTGAACTCTGGTGACCCTCAAGGGAACCCATCAAAGGGATTTCTTGGCCAGAGAGGGATTGCCTTTGCCGTCTTCTGAGGCTGAGAGAGTGTGGCTTCTCCCACCCATCTCCCAGAGTCATAGGGTGCATCTGCATTCTGAAATTAGCACACTTTGACACCCCTTTAACCCCCAATCTCAATGCTGGGGTTTGTAATAGTGCAATGGCACTAGCCCTTAGTGCCATGATGGCGAACCTATGACATGCGTGTCAGCACTGACACGTGTAGCCATTTTCGATGGCATACAGGGAAGCATGGGGTCTCATGCCAAGAAGGATGTTTCATCATCAGCTCCCACATGGCTAGGTGCAGTCGCCGAGGGTGAAACATCTATTGTAGTGTAGTGTAGACACTTTGTGCCGGAGGTCTACAGAACTCGGGCACAAAGCATCTAGTTCTGGGACTTCTGGTTAGACTGTTAGGGGATCTTTGAACTCACTTCCAGCCAGTGGAGTAGGGAGCAGAGGAATGCCACATCTCTGGGGGCCCTGTGATTGCCATTGCCAGCAACCACATAACCACAGCGACCATCATCCAATCTACTGTTCTGGGGTGTCATGGATTTCTAATTGACCATAATTACTGAAATAAGTGGGGGAAGGGGGGGGGCTGGGAGAGGCGAGGGCCTGTGACATGGGTGCCATTTCCCGCCATTAGAAATAGCGGGAGCCATCTTAATTTGCACTAAGCAGGTAAGTTAAATAATCAGTTTTTGGTTTATTAAATATAGTTATATATTGCAATTATACTTTTTGTTATTTAAACTATAAATATCACAAAATTAAGGGTTTTTTCTTGAAGTGACACTCCACCTGAGTTATGTTCAGTTTTTTGGTGAATTTTGACACACCACGCTCAAAAGGTTGCCCGTCACTGCCTTAGTGGCAGAGGAGACAAAGGCCTCGCAGAACTCTAAATCCTGGGATTGCGTTGCCTTCAGCCAGGGCCATTCAAGTGGTGTCAAACTGCATTCATTCCATGGTGCAGAAACACTCTGGATCCCAGCAATCCCTTTGATTCTTGCAGCCTTGATGCCGCTTGGCCAAACGTCTCCAGGTTTTCACTTGTGAAATCTTGAAAGGTGTCCCTTTGAGGAGGAGGAGGAGGAAGGGGCGAGGCTTGATCTCTGCTGCTACAAACACAATGGAGGCATGGAATCCAAGGGCAGGAAAAGAGATTCCATCTGAACATTAGGAAGAGCTTCCTGGGAGTTGGACTGGATGGCCTTTGGGGGCCCCTTCCAAGCCTAAGATTCTACCTAGGTGCATGTATGCACCCAATGTGGCCGCAGCGCAGGTGTTCCTCTTTCCCCTTGAAGGAATCCCCAGGTGACCTTGGCCAAGGCCCGCCCTCCAAGGCTTTCCTCCAAGACTTTCTCTTTGGGTTTCCTTCAGTTCCAGCTGGCCAAGCCCTGGCTCCACCGCCGCCCTGCCTGGACCCGCTCGCTCCGGTTCTCTCCCAGAGCTTTGTTATGAACCAAAACAACTCCAAGGAGCAGAGCCTTCAGATCACAACGCAGGAGAGAGGGTGGTGGTGTTTTTCCATCAATGCAGTGTGTCCCTGTTGCTTCCTGAACTTTGCATTTGGGGCAGCTGAATGAAGCCAAGCCTTGGCTCCTGCACTGCACTGCTCTTTTCTACTCTGCTGTTCCTTCTTGCCATAACTTTGGATGCATCTACACACTGGAGAATGAATGCAGTCTGATGCCACTTTCACTACCACCGCTCAATGCTATGGAATCACAGGATGTGCAGTTTTACAAGGTCATGAGCCTATAGCAAATGTCTTTTAAAACAGGACGTGCTCTTTGTGCCCAGCGGGACGCCGGGGTGCCTCGGTTGAGAGGCCCTATGGATTTTCCTAAACAAAGTCTTTAGAAACTTGGAAAGTTTAACAAAGTTCTTTATTATTGCTTAGATCTTCAACAAAACACACACATCCACTCCAGATGGATGCTGTGATGCCGGATGCTCCAAATAGGTACTCTGATAGGTCCAAATGCTCCAGATGAGGAGCAGCTTAAAGAGCTGGGTGTGTTTAGCCTGAAGAAGAGAAGGCTGAGAGGAAACATGAAGAGGGCCAGGGATCAAGAGGTGAGAGGAGGGAACAAGCTTCCTTTCTGCTGCCCTGGAAACTAGGACGCAATGGAGCCATGGCTTCAAACTACAAGAAAGGAGATTCCACCTGAACACGAGTAAGAACTTCCTGGCTGTGAGACCTGTTCAGCAGTGGAACTCTCTGCCCTGGA